AACCCAGTTTAGCGAATGCTCAGTTTAGTGGCTGCATGTGGAGGCCACCCTGGCTTCTGTACCTTTGCAGGCTCCTCCGATTTCAGAGGGCAGCTGTTGCTCCGTTTGTCCTGCAGCCCTGGCTCCTGGCCTGCAGGGGAATAGACTTTCAATGGCCCGCCCAGCAGGCACCTCCCCAGGGAGGCTGGCCCTTCCTTCCTTGGCTTCCTCCATCCTCTCTGGACCCTCGAAATGCCTCTGGCTCCACCTCCAGCTCTAGCCCAGCCTCCTGTCCAGGCAGAGATGGGCCAAAATGCCTGGGTACCTGGTGGTAGCTGGACACTCCCAGCCGCTGCCCAGGCTTCTCCACGTGGCTGTGCCAAGAGGGCCGGGCAGCTGCTGTTCCCCAGAGAAGTGACTGGCAGCACTCCACTCGGGTCAGGAAGCAGCAGGAGGAGGCCGAGGGGCAACTCAGCCCCCTGAGGTAGGGACATTTCACAGTGCCCACTGAGTGGTGTTTGCCGCTCTCGAGATGTGCATGGGGCCCAGCCCTGGTTCTCCCCGCCTTTGTCTCTGTGACTTCTAAGTGGTCATGCTACTGTTGGGGTAAAGGACCAGCTGCAGTGGGGATGCCTGGCTCATCCTGGCTGGATGCTGGGCCTCCCGCAAGTCTGGACAGGTTGGGGGTGAGGGTGGGGAGCACCTGATCTTTGTTCTAGACACCTAAAATTCCATGGACAGAGGAGCCTGGTGGGCTATAGTCCATGGGGGTCACAAAAGAGTCGGACATGGCTTAGTGACTAAGTAACTTTGTTTTTCTACAAGTGTTAAAAGAATTAGTGGGTTATGATACCACCAGCTTCTTTCACTGAGTTCTGCATGGTCCAAGAAGTAAGTAAGTACATTTTGTGCCAGTCAGCCGCTGTGTTCTGAGGGCATGGTCACATTTTAAAATAGAAAAACTTAGGAATTCCCTATGGTCAGAACTCCATACTTCCACTGCAGAAGGCATGGGTTTGATCTCTGGCAGGGAAACTAAGATCCTGCATGCTGCGTGGCACAGCCAAAAAGAAATATGCATTTGTTAAAATGACAGATGTCCTGGTGTGTGTGGGTGCACAGAGGTGGGTGTGAGAAGTAGGTGTGCCGCCCACTGTTTGTTTCTCTGCCTGGGGAGAGGCTCCCGCTGGAACAGGCCAGGTGCTTCCCTGCCCTTCCCCAGGGATTCTCACAGGCCTCTTCAGAACAAACTTCAGGCTTGAGGCAGCTGGCTGATTTGAGTTATGCATCCCTACTCTACGAGGCTCAGTGTTGGACCATCCCCAACACCCTGACAGGGAAATGCCCTGACCAGTTCCAGGGAGGGGGAACCCCTGGGGCCCTCACATCACATGGGCCACTATTAAGTGGGCATGACACTGGTCCTGCCCGCTGGGAAGGCACTCTGCTCCTGAGGGGAACCTGAGACCTCCTCCTTCTCTACCCACACCAAACCCCCACGTGGCTCTGGGGAAAAGGCCGTTTGCTCCAGGCACCTGGAGGCCCCAGTTCTCACTGCTGCTGCCGTGGCCATGCTGGTCCAGGGCGGCCCAACCCCTCCTTTGGCCCCCAGGACCGCCTCCCTCTCCCCCTGCCACGGGACCTCCAGGGAACTGAGTTAGCTCAGCTGTGGCAGTGGGCGGGAGTGGGGAGCAAGAGGGTGGTGTGGGGCAGCCCAGGAAATCCTCTGGGAAGGGGGTGCTCACAGAGAGCCTGAGACCCAGATGTCACGGGGCCTGCCCCTCCCGGTCTCTGCTAGGATAGCTGTCACGTCGTCCACTGCTTGCTCTGTGGCCCAGCCTCGACCTCTGACATCTCAGAGCCTCATCTGTCCTGCTCTGAATCATCACATGCAGTGGGTGATTCAATCCTCACTTCTGAGTGTCAGCAGCTCTCTCCCTGTCAAACCCCAGCCTCCGAACTGCACCCTTTCCTCCTCCCTCCCTCACGTGACAACTGCCCACTTCCCTGCTCTCTTCAGAGCAGGATTTCTCCAAGCAGTTATAAAATTGTCTGCCACCTCCATTGCCCCCATCAGCTGCTGTGTTCCCCACCCCAGGGAGCGCCATCTGCAGGACCACAGGCTCCTGGGAGAGGGCACTGCAGGGTCCTGCCTTACCCAGGTGGTGCTAGTGGTACAGAACCTGCCTGCCAATGCAGGAGACATAAGAGATTCGGGTTCAATCCCTGGGTCAGGAAGATCTCCTGGAGGAGGGCATGGCAACCCTCTCCAGTAAACTTGCCTGGAGAACCCCATGGACAGAGGAGCCTGGAGGGCTACGGTCCATAGGGTCGCAAAGAGTCAGACACGACTGAAGCGACTTAGAACACACGCATGCCTTATCATTCCAGCTTGTTTCCTCACTCCCATGGGTCTCCTCCTGACACCAAACCCAGGTCCCTCCCTGACCTGCACCCGAAGCAGCTTGCACAAGGGAGCAGAGAGTAGTCGTGCGCTCTGGGCTTCTGTGAAACCTCACCCCCACCTTCACAACCTGGCTTCCCTCCCTCACTGGGACCCCTGACCTCTCATCCTTAGAGGGCTTCTGACTCAGCACAGACACCTTCAGTGACCTCATGAGCCCCAGGGTTTGAAACCCTATCTGCACAAAACCATCCACATCTTTGCAGAGATGGGACCTTGCTGAGTTCCAGGTTCATGGCACCCTACTACCTTCCCTGGGATGCCCAAAAGGCTCTTCAGTGTTACATACCCCTCATCTGACCTGCCCCAGCTGTCCTGCCACATTGCCAGCAAGCAGGAGAGAAAGAAAACCTGGCAATCATCTGGACTCTTAACAGAAATCACATCCACACCTGCCACAAACATCCCAGTCAAGCATTCAGCAAAGCTCAAAGAATTTTATCACGAATGCTGAGATACCCGGTCTTCCCTGGTGATGTGGGTTCAATTCCTGGATGGGGAAGATCCCGTGGAGAAGGAAGTAGCAACCAACTCTAGCATTTTTCCCGGAGAATTCCTCCTGAGTCCACGGGGTCGCAGAGTCAGACTCCAGTGAGCGACTGACTACAGCAGAAAAACTAATTGGTGGTGGAAAATATTGAGGATTGTGGCTACCTCAGGGAGCTTCAAATAATGGAACAGGCCTCTTTCGCTTAAGGCTTCTCTCTGAGTAATGTCTGGAGATTCACCCAGCTGGTGTCAGAGTGTTGTGTCCGGCGCTCAGACTCCGAGCCTGAGCTCTGGCCTCGCCCTCTCCCTTATTTCCGATGCCCCGCCCTCCTGTTCTCCTAATCACCTTCTTTAAGACCTCAAGGCCCCCGCACTTGCTAACTTTTTTCCTCATTCAGTCGTCACCGCCACTTGCCTCTCCACTCTAAAGCAGCCCTGTACACTGTCTTTTCTTTGCAATACTGTTCCTGACTGAAACGGTATTTATTTATTTGCTTGCAGTTTGTCCTGCACCCCAGCTAAACTCAGTGAGAATCTGGCCCAGGTCCTCTTGTTCACAGCTGAACCCCCAGTGCTCATAAACCATATAGTCTTGAATGAAGAAGTGATGAGTGATTCAACATCTGAATAACCATTGCCAGGCAACTGCCAGCTCTTTCCTGCAAATCTGACCTGTAGCAGCACTGTAGGAGGCTGGCAGACAGCTTCTTGAGGCTCTGTCTCTCTAGCAGGACTGAATGATGGCACAGTCACCACCCAGTTCTTGCTGAGTTTGCCCTGGCCCAGGGAAGAGGCACTCTGAGTGACAGGTGAACAGCAGAGAGCTCTGGTTTGGCCACAGGTGGATCTCCTCCTGCTCAGTGACCATACAAAGGGGGGCTAGGAGGCTGGAGGGCAGGCATGGGATCCCCAGGTAGGGAGCAGGTCCCTTTAGTGCTCTGCTCTCTACTTTTCATCCCCTTTGGTTCCCACAAAAACCCAATATTAGATTAAGCATCCAGTCCATTGCTGGTGCACAACCTCCAACACATTTGCGTCTCTGTGTCGGCAATTACAAAAAGCATTTATCAATAGGCAGATGACCCAAGAAAATATCCGTACTTTTCACTTAATCATCAAATTGCAGTTAATCAGAATCAGCCAAGACACATTTGCAAAAAGAACTGCAAACTGCAATAGTTTCAAGATATCAGCTACTTAGGAACAGGTGCCTTTTCCAAGCTTGTTATGCAGGTATAATGCTGCATGTTACTATCAATTCATCGCTCTGAATTCCACTGTTTATTTGTGGGTTGCTACTTGGCATGGCCATTTCTAGATAGTTTTTGTATGTCTCCAAGAAGTAAGGCAATGTTCAGTTGGTTTAACAGACCAGGCTGCTCAGTTTCATCCCAGTCGTGGTATTTGGGCTGCCTTGAATTATGAGCTACACTCCACTGCCTCGCTAGAAATTTCTGCCTTTAGGTGGAGTAAAGGTTTTGTTTCTTTCACATTATTATTCAGAATATGTTCCCTAAATTTTTATATTTCTACAGGTCAGTTTAATGACTCCTCTCTAGCTTTCCTTGGTTCTCCTCCTCAACTTCTGCGTTTGGTTCATCTTTTTATAGAGTAACTTCTGCTAGGTTGGGGGCTGCTCACAGACTCGGATGACTGCGGCGGGCGGAGCGGCTCCGGCCTTTTTTGGGCGTCTCCTCGCTCTGGGCGCGGACCTGCCGGCGAGCGCTCGGCTAGCTGCGGCGGCGGCGGCGGCTTAGGGGTCCCGAGGTGGCCCGGGTTCCGCGTGCGCAGCCATCATGACTGGAAGGTAACTGCCCCTCCCCGCGCCCCTGGGTGGTGGGCGCCGTGGGCCCGGGAGGGGGCGCCTGGGGCGCCAGGCTGGGCGGGGCTACGGGACAGGACCCCGGCCAGCCCAGACCCCTGCGGGCACCCCGGCCTCACCAGGCCCCGGCCCCTCCACCTCTACCCCTCCCCGGGTGGCAGCGCTGGTCAGGTCAGGGACGCCCGCCCCGCTCCCGCGCTTCCAGCCCTCTGGCCGGCGCCGGGCAGCGGCAGGTGAAGGGTCTGTCCTGTCCCGGACGTTGGAGCCATTACCACACCCGCCCCCTGCTCCCGAGAACCAGTGATCCGAGGGGCCAGAGACTTGCTCAAGGTCACTACCAACAGAAAGGCACGGCGTCAAAACCCAGGCGGTCGGCTCCCACCGGCTTCCCTGTCTGCTAGCTGGGTGATCCTGGTGACAGCTCACCTCTGGAGCCTCTGTTTCCTGCTCTGTAAGATGGGGGTGGTAAAAATGGTAAACAGTCGATCTGGGGGCCTAGCCAGACCTGCCGCCAAACACAGGCTGCACAGGGATGGGTTGAACCCGAGAAACTCCCCCAGACTTGGCCCGGTTTCCACTTTTATATCCCTTGTGGCCATTTCACAGATGAGATGACTGACGCCCCACAGGCCAAGTGACTCACCAGGCCAGTCACATGTCCACCAGTGTCTGGCCAGTGCTGGCCCCCGCAACCTTTTCTGGAACCTGGCTGGGTACACACGCATGACTCAGGGGTGGGAGGGGCTGGTCTCTGAGGCCCACAGGCCCCCTTTTAGCCAAGCCCTTGGAAGAGGATGCTCTTCTTTATGACCCCCTTGGCTTGGGGCTGGAGGCTGGAGGGGACCCTGTGGCTTTGCTGGGGAAAGGAGCTTGCAGAGGCAGTACCCAGAAATGGGGAGCAGCCACAGAGGGCAGAGAGGTGGCCCAGAACTTAGGTGATGTGCAGGGCAGTCACCCAGCCTTCAGGGTCACACAGATCACGATGAAGGCTATGGCCTGGAGTCCTAGGGCAGTCCCAGGAGCCAGCACAGATCCTGTTTTCTGGGGAGTCCTGTGCTTCACATGTGGTTTACTGCCCACATCCCAGACCTCCCGCCCCAGCCCAGGTCTGCTGACAAAGCCCGCTCCCAGTGCTCACCCCGCCGAGTGTGCCCTTGCCTTCCTGTCCCTCGCAGGGCACCCCTGCCGGCTGCCTCATTCCCCACCCTGTAAGCTCCCGAGGGAAAAAGGGAGAGAGAACAGGGACAGAATCAGGAGCAGTGACAGACAGGTGTTGATGTGGGGCTGGAATGCGTGACAGGTGGTTTTCCAGGCACAGTGGAGATCATGTAAAGCCAAGCTGCAGGATGTCAGCTTCCATAGTATCTTCAGCTCTGATGCCCTGGAGTGGGGAGAGGCAGAAACCCAGACGCACCTCTGTTCCCTCAGCAGGAATGCTTCCCCCCCCTGAAGCCCAGGGGTCTTCCAGGGAGGGTGGGGGGATCAGCTTGGCCAAAGGACAGCCCAGCAAGAGAAGCTGGGAATGCAGGCAAGGGTGGGAACAGGGGCCAGCCTGCTCCAGCTGCTGCCCAGCTCCAGTGGGCACCCTGAGCCCGAAAGATGCTAGTCATCAAATGACACAGGGACTGGAGTGAGCCTTTTAAAACACTGAGTTGGGTTAAAAGTAAAACTGCTCATCTTAGAGAGTTAGGGGCTCCCCTGGTGCCTTGGACAGTAAAGAATCTGCCTATAATATGGGAGATCTGGGTTCTATCCCTGGGTCAGGAAGATCCCCGGGAGAAGAGAGTGGCTATCCACTCCAGTATTCCTGCCTGAAGAATTCCCTGGACAGAGGAGCCTGGTGGGCTACAGTCCACTGAGGTTGCAAAGAGTTGGACATGACTGAGCAACTAATACTTTCATTCCCTCACTAGGAAAAACCCAGAAACAAAGAGGGAACAGAAATATTAAAAGAAAGAAAGGAAGAAAGAAAATAGCCTGTGGTTCCACTCTTCAGAAATGCCCTCAGTAACATTTTGGTGGTTTTCTTTTCTTGGGTATTCTTCTGCTCTTCTGTTTTTCACGAACTGTGAGTGGTCTGTGAGCCCATGTCCCCAACCTCCTTTGAAGCTGGCCTACCACAGGTAGCACCCATGCCAGGTCTGGCTGACCCCTCTTCCACACACAGGCATAGGGGCCAGCCTGGCAGAGGAATGGACACCCGACCAGCCTTTGGGGTGGGTGAGGTTTTTCCCGTCCAGAAGCTGTGGAGTTTCATTTTCATTCTGTTTGATGCCACCATGCCCTCTACACATCCACTACCCCCATGAGATGCCAGGGCCGTTCTCACACCTGGATGCTGGTTTTCCCCACATCATCCCTTACTGCCAAGACCAGACTGATTTTTGGAAATTACGCTCTTCTCTCCTTGTGTATACCTCCTGCACCTTCCGGGCTCTCCCTGCCAATGGTGTAAAGCCCCGCCCTCCAAGCAGGCAAGACAAGAGGGAGGTCAGTGGGGGAGCCGCTGAAGTGACCTGGAGTGACATGGTGCCTGGGCACTTTGGAACTACTCCTCTGAGTCCTGATAGCAAAGGGGCTGCTGAGGAAGAGACAGGGAAGGAGATGAAGCCTCTCCTTGGCAGCCATGGGGCTAGAGAAGAGGAGGGTATTCAGGGGGCCTGGGAGAGGGAGTTTGGACCCAGGGCAGGTGCCCAGTTTGTGGGGGCAGGTATGGGAGCGGACACAGAGCTAGTTGGGCCATGAAGCATTTGGAGAGCGGCAGTAAGTCGGGGGAAACCCTGAGACTGGACGTGAGGGCCTGGAGCCCAGGGGAGGGCTGAGCGAGGCCAGAAGAGTGAGTGAGCCTGGGACGTGGGCGTGGTTATTTAGGGAGCCTTCATGCTGTGGGAAGACGCTCAGCCCTGGCTGCAGCCCCGAGAACTCTGGACTTAAAAACACTGTGTCTTTGTCCCAGTTGAAGGGACCTTTGACGTCAACATTTTCCACCCTTGGGCGGGTTACCTCCCCTGCCCAGGGACCTGACCTGTCAGCGGCTGTCCTCCGGAGGGAGCCTGGGGCATGGTGCGCACAGCTGTGACTCGGTGGCTTGGCCTGTTGGAGGGGAGTCCCACCTACCACATGACTGACACCCACAGAGGCTGCCAGCTCACAGCCGGGCCCCATGCTTGGTACAGTGCAGAGTGGAGCTGCTGGATCCCTGTCCTCACACCTGGCAGCCCCCTCCCCCTGTCCACCACATCCCCCAACCTGTGCTCCCAGATGTTCCCCACCCTTCCCAGGAATATGCCCAGAGGAGCCTGCCAAGGAGCGGCTAGGGTGGCAGCCAGAGCCCCTGGGACAGCACATGGGGCTGTGATGGACTCAGGGGTTAAGTGTGAAGCAGGTGACAGGGGATGTGCAGCTGGGCCCTGAGCCCCAGACTGGGCCAGATGGGGGTGCCCCGCCCGGGGCCCTCACCTCCTCCCTTTTCTTCTTCTGGTGGAGACTCCCTCTCTGGCTGGCCGGGGAGTGCTATGGGGCCTGATCTATAGGGTGTGCGCAATTCTGTGCTGTAAGACCTCTTACTTGGGCTCACTTCAAGCTACCAAGGTGATGCAAACGAGTTCCCAGAATTCCTGAGAACGGAGCATTCAACACTTGTGAGCTGGCATACTGCTTGGGGAGGGACTGGGCTTTTGCCGCACAGCGGCTGACCTACCTCTCCAGTCACACGGCTGCTCTCTGCTCCCACCGACTACGTGCAGTCACACTTAAACCATCCTTAGGGCTTCATTTCTGCTGGGGGGTGGGGGAGGGAAGGAGGGGAGCAGAGGGAGGCACCTGAACAGTCCTTCTTGTTCTGTTTATTCAGAGCTTCTGAATTTTGGATGATGACTGTTTATTCTAGATGACCTAATAAGATGATCTTAATGAGATGCTCACGTGAGATGACTGTATCTCACTAAGATGAGATGTCTCATATATGTGTATATAAAACCAAACATACATGAACAGTAAGAAAATACAATCACTCAAAATGTCCTGTGGGGTAAGAAGGTTGAAATTATCATTCATCTCAGCCATGCCAAAGGATCTGGGCAAGTTGTCTTCAGCCCCCCAGTGAGACTGGCTCTGGCAGAGAGGCTGTGGTGGAATCACTGGCTGCCTTGGGGATGGCACTCACCACCCAGAAAGACATAGCAACCCTGCCTCCCAGCTTCCTGCTGCTTCTAGGGCTCTTGTCTCTTAGTAAGCAGCATAGTTGCATTCTTCCCTATGTGTGTCCTGCTTTAACATTTGAGATATGAATCCCATACCATGAAATTCACTATCAGAGTGTGCAGGTCAGTGGTTTACAGTATATTTACAAGGTTGTGCAACCATCACCACTAATTCTGAATATTTTCATCACCCCCAAAAGAAATCCATTTGCAGCTAATCCTTTCTTCCCCCATCCCCTGGCAATCACTAGTCTGCTTTCAGTCTCTACAGGTTTGCCTGTTCCTGGATGTTTTATATAAATGGAGCCATACATTAGGTGGCCTTTTTTTTTTTCTGCCTAGCTTCTTTCATTTAGCGTAATGTTTTCAAGGTTCATTTACATTGTTGGATGAATCAGTACTTTGTTCCTTTTTTGACCAAATAATATGCCCTTATATGGATAAACCACATTTTATCTGTATAATCATTTGTGGTGGAAATTTTGTTTCCACTTTTGGCTCTTATGAATAAATGCTGCTGTGAATATTCCTACATATATTTTCTACTATCTGGAGAATATACCTAGCAGTGGAATTTTGGGGTCCTGTAATAACTTTATGTTAAACTGAGGAATTGCCAAGCTGTTTTCCAAGTAACTGCATCAATTTTACATTCACATCAAGAATGTCTGAGGGTTCCGTTTTCTCCACTTATCGTTATCTGTTTTCATAGGTGTAAAGTGATACCACATTATGGTTTTGACTTTTATTTCCCCAGTGACTTGTGATCTTGGACACTTTCTCAGGAGCTTATTGGCTTGTGTTTATCTTATCTGGAGAAATGTCTAGTCAAATTCTGTGCCTTTTAAAAAATTGGGTTCTTTTTATTGCTGGATTGTAAGAGTTCATGTATTCTGGATACTAGATATTTATCAGATATATAATTTGCAAATATTTTCTGCTGTGGGTGGTTTTCATTTTCCTGGTAGTGTCCTTAAATATACAAAGGCTCTAAATTTTGGTGAAGTCCTATTTATTTATTTGGTTGCCTAGAGTCTCAGTTGCAGCTCTGGGATCTTTTGCTGCTGTGTGTGAACTCTACTGTGGCTCATGGGTTAGTTTCTCTGCAGCATGTGGGATCTTACTTCCCCTACCAGGGATGGAACCTGCGTTCCCCACATTGCAAGGCAGATGATTAACCAGCAAGTCCCTATTTATTTATTTTTGATTGCTTGAGTTTTTGGTGTCATATCTAGGAAACATACCTAAT